CTCTCTGTTCTTACATATATTAAGAGCTTGAAGGAGCTTTGCAATGAACTATTATTGCTTCAGAAGTTACCTTCCTAGGCCATGGTTTCATCATAGCTTCTTAGAAAGCAAATAGGGACATTCAAATAGGGACATTCATTTATTTTCTCTGACCTGAACAGAAGTGTATGAAGTGCAGCGAATGCAGGTCTCCCACTGAACTCACTGATGCTCTCTTTGTGACCAAGGGCTATAGGACTGGGCCCAAAAATTGGGTGGGATTTTTAAGTTTAGCACGTACTTTATGGTAAATGTGCATTAGATATTCTGCTAATTTGCTGCTATATTTTTCTAACAGCTACATTATTTAGTTTCATATAAAATTTCGTAGATGATAGACACTAATGCAAGTAATGCCTATGTGTGTGTTTGGAAGAAGTTTCTTACTCTGTTTCTATTGCCAAAAATAGTTAAATACCTCAGTCAAATTCAGAATGTCATTTTGGTACTTTACTGGTCACACAAGCCATTATATGCCGGTCAGAAGATGTGTCTTTCAGTTTCTATTTAACTTGCCTTATGTCAGTGTTTTGTTTGTTTTTCTCGAAGTTTAATAAATGTATTGTCTTTGATCTGTCCTGACACAGTGTGTTTTATTGCACACAACTTTTTTTTTAAAGAAAATAGAGATTTTATTAGGAGAAATCAAGTATTTCTCAGTTAATAAAGTAGAATGCAGCTTTTCTTAGAATAGAAGCAATGCCTAATGAGATCAGTGTTTTCCCTGATTGATATGTATACAGTTAAAAATAGAATCATGGACCTAAATTTATGGATGGAGATAGGACATGCTGTACCCAGAACCCAAGACGTGTTACTGATTTAGCAGACCAGTTTACCTTTGGCTAGAACAGCCTGTGGTTGCAAGTAAATAAGCTGCAGTAGTTCAAGATTTACGCCAACAATGGAATCTACAAATCAGATATTCTGACAAACCTCGATAGTTACTTGTAGTCATAGTTAAAACCTAGCAGTACATGAACTCTTGAATGTCAGAAATGTCAGATAAGCTGTCTCTATGGAAAATGCCATCTATTGGATGTCTCCCAGTGTGTAGTAATGTACTACTGCCTCTCTCCTCTGTCTTGAGGTAGGGAGGGAGCTGTTGGAGGAATCCAACTAGACAAGAGTAAACCCTTTCCTCCCAAGGGAATTGGGTTGTGATTCAGTTCCTCTGCACAGACATCCAGTGCCATTTAAAGTAGGTAATCAGGTTTCCAGGTGCTGGTCCAGAACAGCACAGGCCTTGTGTAGATTCTGTCTTATCTAAAAGCCTGAATGATGGTAGATGCCCATGTTTTGGCAATTGAATTGATCCCCAGTGGAAAAAAACAGCTCCAGGAGTGTAAACATCTTTGTGTCAGATAGGTGTAAGTTACCATGATAGTTAATAGTCTGAAGAGCTACTTAGCTGACCACATTTAGGTGTCTGCTTTAGGTGAGCTGATTAGGCCTCCCCACTCTTCAGACTAGAGCAGGAGCATGGACATCTTGCTCTCATTCAGACACTAAATATATTTGTTAATTAAGGCATCTTGATGTGAATTTCACCTCAGCTGAAGCGTTGGACAACCTAACCCAGAGAGCAGCATTGGTGTTCTCTTATGGGTTATACTGTTTGTAGAAACAACTTTGTCTATGGAACTCAATGCGAGTGAACTATCATGATGAGTAAATATGCTTGCTTACACCTCCTGCTTGAAGAACTGAACTTCAGAAGGCTTAAGTCTTTTCTAAGGCTCTAAAAATACCTGAGCTCTCGTGGGAGTTGGAGGATTCACAGCTAGACTTCAAGAACCGGCAGTGAAGACAGTGGTTCACCACTACCATGTGGGGAACTCCAGCTCCCCCTACTCACCTGTGCCAGTTCCACTGCTGTCTGCCAGTTCCACTGCTGATCAGCCCTTCCATGAGCTGATCCAGCTTTCTAAAACCTGAGAAAATCATGAAAGCAAAGTATTAGACGTTACCTTCTGTTGATTAATAAGTTAAACTAATTAAGCAAAGTCCCTGTCATGGTTTAGCCTTAGCTGTCAGGTAAGCACCATACAACTGTGGGCTCACCTCTCCCCCAGTGGGATGGGCCAGAGAACGGAAAAACAAAGGCAAAACCTCGTGGGTTTGGGATAAGGACAGTTTGCTGGGACAACAAAGGGAGAGGGAAATAACAGTACTTAGAATATACACAAAGGGTGATAACACAAGGCAATTTACCGACCCAACAACCAACTGGACACTCAGCCCACACTCAGTCCCAGAGCCACACAAAGCCACCCCTCCCCAACTAGCCCCATTTATGGTGAGCATGATATCACATGGTATGGAATAGAATCATAGAACCTTATGGTTGGAAAAGACCTCTAAGATCATCAAGTCAACCCAACACCACCATGTCTACAAAACCATGTCCCGAAGTGCCACATCTACATGTCTTTTTAACACCTCCAGGGATGGTGATGCCACCACTTCCCTGGGCAGCCTGTTCCAATGCCTGGCCACTATTTTGGTGAAGAAATTTTTCCTGATATCTAATCTAAATCTCTGCTGGCACAGCTTGAGACCATTTCCTCTTGTCCTTTCCGTAGTTACTTGGGAGAAGAGACAAACAGCCATTTCACCACAACCTCCTTTGAGATAGTTGTAGAGAGCGATAAAGTCTGCCCTCAGCCTCCTCTTCTCCAGGCTAAACAAGCCCAGTTTCCTCAGCCACTCCTCATAAGGCTCGTGCTCCAGTCCCTTCACCAGCTTTGTTGCCCTTCTCTGGACATGCTCCAGCACCTCAATGTCTTTCTTGTACTGAAGGGCCCAAAAACTGAACACAGTATTCGAGGTGCAGCCTCACCAGTGCCAGGTTAAAGGGACACAGTCACTTCCCTAGTACTTCTGGCCACACTGTTCCTGATACAAGCCAGGATGCTGTTGGCATTCTTGGCCACCTGGGCACACTGCTGGCTCATGTTCAACAAGTTGTCAACCAGCACCCCCAGGTCCTTTTCCACCAGGCAGCTTTCCAGCCACTCTGCCCCAAGCCTGTAGCGTTGCATGGGGTTGTTGTGATCCAAGTGCAGGACCCAGCACTTGGACTTGTAATAGAATAGCCCCTTGGCCAGCCTGGCTCACCTGTCCTGGCTCTTTGCAAAAATTAACTCTATCCTAGCCAAAACCAGGACAGTTCCAAATGAGCACCAGTGAAGAAAGGCAGGACCACACGGCCAAGAGAAAGGAGGGAGGAGCTAGAGTATCTTCTTGATGAAAACAGTTCCCTCATGCAGCTCACTCACAAAGACAAGAAACAGGAGGAATACACAGCTCAACGTAGGTGTGTGCTTGCAGGCATATACTGCAATGACCTCTCTTGGTGGTAACTATCACCTAGGTCAGCTTAAAGGACTAGCAAAAGCCAGCTTGAGCTCCTTCCCACCTCCAGCAGCAATGCAGCTCAAGTAATCACATGCCTAATGACTGCAGCCAGTGTACAGTTCACATGTGGGTGCTTAGAAGGCAAATCCAAGTGTCAGACTTGTGATTGTGTCTGCACTTTACATTTTATACTGGAAATCCACTGTTTTCCTACAGAACACAGCAACCTATTATTTCAAGGTATGATGCACTTGCCAGATACAGAAAAGCTTTATATTACACAGTTGCAAAGCAACCTGTTTATTTGCTTTCACCTTTTATTTGAAGTGGGGCAAAATGTATCTGTGCTCTACAGAAAGACCCTCTGGACCAGTAACTATTTATCTTCTCTCTTGTTCACATGGAGAAATAATGCTACGTATTGTCCCAATGCCAGACATATGAGTCAATGCAAAGGTGACAGAATTCATGTTTAGAAATGCCTACTAAAATTGTACTTTCCAAGTTTAATCAATGGCTAAAATATACAAGGTGGAAAGAAACAGGCATCACACTGTAAGCAAGGAGTATTTTAGTGGAAACCCCAGTAACTTTCACTGCATTGAAGTTTATGGCATGTAAACTGGGTGCACTTGTTACCATTCTTGGAATGACATTTTACTCATATATTGCCTAGCAGAGGCTAGTCTATATTAATATCTGTACTTGGAAACCGTGTTTCTCAAAAAGCAAGAAGGACTCAA